GAGTGAGGTCAGAGAAATGGAGCGGTAGGCTCTGAGTGATACAGCCCTGCGGAAGCAGATGTTGAGGAGGATAGCGGCGAGCTACAACATGAGCCTACGTTAGAGGAACCATTCGAGACGGAACATACAACAGGAATAAGGTATCCTGTCCGAGATGAGTGGAAGTGCTGCATGCAGATTTTGAAAAGACACAGCTTTGCGTGAAGGTAATGATCTGAGGCATACGTGCATGTGTAATTCCATGCTAAGATTTTGGGCGTGGTACTATCCGGTGACCTAGGCTGAAGTAGAGAGTTTTCTTGAGGGACCCTACCGGGAGCCTTTAGTTAAAAAGCCTGATTCACAAGGCTGCGGAGTCCACTATCCTCTGAGAACCGATGACTAACAGACCAGTTCCTATGCCTTCCAAATGTGGCCAACTATCCATCGTACCCATATTTTCCTTAAACCGCTTACTTGAGCCTTGTGGTGGTCTACTCCCAAGGTGAACTTTGGGGACCGGTTCGGGTGTTGCGGAGGATTGGTGCCACTGTGAGCTTCTTAGGCCAAATGCGAATGGTTTGGAATCAGGGTTTTAGCCAATCCCCTGAGACCCGGTGGAAAGCGCCAGGCCTTTGCCTTCCCACTTTTGTGTTAACACCGCCACTAGAAGGCAGTGGGTAGGACTTCCTCAGCGGAAGCACTTGGTCTTTTGGGAGCATTTCTGGACGATCTTTGGGTGACTAGCCATTTCGGAGCTCTAGACACCCACTCCCAACCATTTGGAGGCTCTTATTGTGACTAAAGGCGAAATTACACCTACTGAGCAGGAATGTCTTTCAACTAGAACTATTTGTGGTTGGTTGCACTTGAAATGTGCATTTTGCACACAGCCCAAATACATCGAGTGAGTCAAATACTGGTGAACCTCGGCAAGCCAAACGAAATACTTGTACAGCGTAATTCCTTAGGCTGAAACTTGTAATATAGATGTACGCTGTGCCTCCGAAATACGCATGCAAGACCCTACTTCAATAAACTCCCTGCATTCTCCCGACCTAACCTCAACCTCATGGTTCACCGTTCATGTGTCAGGCGTTTCGATACCTGAAGCTCACAGTGTTGCTGGTGTTGGGACTGCGGTGAATACAAGACCGAGCGTTCACTTCTCGACTGGATCCCGGTTAGTAGCCGACTTTGCGTTGTACGTCTGGATGGTTCAGTACAAATCAACAGCTACAGAACGAAGCGTGGATGCTTATTCGTCGTATCGGTGCATGCATCGACGGATTGCAGTTCGCCAGAAGTGAAGAATGAATTCTACAAGGACCTCTTTCTCAACTGCTCCAAAGTGCTGGGTCAACGGGCACCGTGGTGTTCGCTGGAGACTTCAATGCTCAAGTGGGATCCCTGGACGAATCAGAAAGGCTACTTGGTGATTCACATACAATCCCTGCTAACCGGACTGACACCGGAGAACGCCTACTCCAACTTTGCACTGACAACGGACAGCTTCTTTCAAGCACGAACTTCTCGCACAAGAGAAGATACTGCTTTACATGGAGACCTCCAACTTCTTCACAGCGCTGGACCCAAATCGACCACATTGCCACCAGCCACCGCTGGCGAAGATCCATTGAATATAGTTACTGCCACTGATCAACACCCTTGGACGCGGACCATGCACTGCTAAGAGCCAGATTCTCCCTACGTCTAGTACCCAACCGCAGAAAAGCCACCGAAAACGGATACTCACAATACAGTGTCAGCAATGGTTGCGAAAATATCTGATCGCCTCTCAGCTGCATCATCAGACGGAGAACGCAGTGAACACTGGACGGTAATCAAGGAAGCGATCCAAATGTCAAGCAAAATAACGTTCAAACAAAGAACGAAGGATCTTGACCTCAGTTGCCTTGCTGGATGCTCGCAAAGCCATTCCTTCGGATTCAAAATACGACAAAGTGCGCGGATCCCTTAAACGCCAACTCATCAAGAGTCTAAGGAATGACCGCGAAAATTGGTGGGTAGGGAAGTGTAAAGAGATGGAGGAGGCTGCGACTATCGGTAATAGACGCAATCTTTTCCGATTAATTAGGTTTACGGGTCCAAGGAAAACAGGCGTAAGTCGGGTATTCAAGAAGTCCGACGGCACATTGATTCATATTCAGAAACACCGTCTTAAAAGTTGGGTAGAACATTCAAAGGCACAGTTCAGTTGGCCCCCATCGAATCAAGACCTCCCTATACCCGCTTCAACTGGGCAAATATTGCCAGTTGACATCACTCCTCCATCTGAAATGGAGGTTACCCGAGAAACAAATGTCAAAAGGTATAAGACTTCCGGGCCGGACGGGCTGTCCCCATCTGTTTTTAAGGATAGAGGTTCGACTTTGGTTTTGGAGTTAACGAGACTCCTGGGCTCTGTATGGGAGAGGGAACAGGTTCCAACTGAATGGTGTGAATCGGTCATCGTACCGATTTACAAGAAAGGCGACAAGTCCTCTGGTGCGTAAACTCACAACCGCCGCTACTCATGGCAATCAGCCATATCATTTATTGTCGTGAAGTTTTCTCGCGATTCCTCCAACCGGATATCATCATGTGATTCATATAACCAAACACCCTGACCACCGTTCTCATGTCCTCGTACCAGATATTATTGTGACTGTCTTCCACCTGCCTCCCCTAGGGAAACGTATCTGGTGACGTGCATAAAACAGCCCTCGGATATCGTAATCCATGGAAGTTAAACAGTCGTAATTGTGTGACCACGATTATCTGGAACTCCGTCCCTGTGTTGCTTACCCGATTATCCTAACAGGCCAATCCCTCACAACGGGACTACACCTTGACGTGGTGGGATAATTCGCGTGCCCCCAGAACCCTGCGAACTTTCACTGCCGCAGTTTCCATTCTGCCTGAAAGGCCAATAACCAGAGGCCAGACACAGCTCAATCTCAAAAACCCAGCTCGTTTGGGCTTCTCTTGCGTTCCTTCTTTAGCCCCAACCCCGAGAACGTTTATTCCAGCAAACAAACACAAGGAGGAACAGTCTACCAGCAAAACCCCGTCAGAATAACGTGGGATTGGGATACCCGGGGCTTCCCCTCGATGCTGGTTACAAAATTCGCCCAAAGGAACAAATGGTAGACCCCCATTGACTGCGTTGTTTGGAACATGTGTTGCGCTGGTCACCAAATAGATTTTCAGGGAGCATGATGTTTCCTTAGGCAGCTAGAGGGTGGGGAAATTTAAAGGGCGGACAAACTAATGCCTGGAATGAAGGAACGAAAATCTTGACCAAGATGCTCGGTCAGACAGGCTGCATTAGGCTCCCTGAACGTCAGATACAGTGGTGCTCTTGCATTTTTTCAACCTCACTCTAATAGAATTCTCTATTTGCTCTTTGTCATTCCACTTTGCTCTCTGCTCCTTCCGACGACAGACAGCAACCAAAACCGTTGTGCGTATGTGCATGGTTAATGGTTGCAAAAAGTGAATCTGAACCGAACTACCAGACTGATGCTATGTTCGTACAATGATCGAGGCAACACTTTGCCATCAGTTTACCCCACTAATTCTTCCCATTGTGCTGTCTTTTGCGACTTTAACCAGTTTAGTTTATTCTCACTTATTACCCAGTTTTGTTCGCCTTTTGATTGTTAGAACTGTGAGCAGCTCGTTGATTGGACACTTCCAGTGGATCTTTAATCTGTGTATCTTGTTGAATATGTCAGACTGAGTCCTTTGGAATGAACACTCACTCCTACCGGAATAACATGACGTTATCCAATGCAGTACTAACCTCGATACCAAACTTTTTGAGCATTAACTTCTACAGACCAGGCTATTTCCAGTTATGGCAATTCTTATTTCATTTCATTTTTACTTCCTTTTATTGAATTTAGAAATGTACAATTTTCAGGAAGGGGGAAGCGGCCAATCAAAGGGCTGTTATAATGGGGAAAGATAGGCGGTGGTGGTGGGAGTCGAACATACGTCCTCCGGGGTGATAATTGGTGACGTTATCACCGGGCCACTATTAGATGCATAGTTATTACCCCCCAAAAACCTCACCCATACACAGTACCTCCTATATAGATACTTATCAGTTGTATGGTAGTCCTCTTGGCACTATCTCAGAGAAATTATCGCGTACCATGAACGGTATGCAAGACCGCAATTACAAGGCGCAAAAATCCATAACTTGTTTGAGATGGTACACATAGGACCCCCATTCAATTAATAAGTATCAATATAAGAAGTGCGGTGCATGGGTGAGAGACTTTCAAGTATCTTCGTACTCATTCAAGCCTCGAGGTTTGGGTTTCCTATTTTGAATAAGCGGTTAGTAGCACTTTGGAATTGTTGAGAAAGATCCTGGTAGAATTCATCCTTGATTTCCGGTGTACTGCAATCGGTCGGTGCATACGCTCCTCGTTGTCATGTTACATGTATTGCTTATTTGACTAGACATCTTGATAGGTAGACATCTTAACAGACCGGAATGCAAATATGAAGTAACACCTATCATTGTGTGTTCAGCTTTGTTTAGTTCTCAAACGAAACGTCATGAACGTAGTTCTCCGTCACGCCTGGCATTTCGAAGACTGTGCTTTGTTACCTAATGATTAAACAGTATCCCACTGTGGATTTGTCTTAACTGCATAGCCGTGCCCCGTGGTAGGCAGTTGGTACAACTAACTCGTGGTTACTTTTGTTCGAGGTCTTTCCATGTCTTGTTTATTGGTTGTCAGCCTTCGATTCATTGTGGCGTTCTGATTGTTTCTGGTATATTCATTATGGTTCAAATAAATTAAGGTAAATAGATTACTATACCACAGACCTCTAAAGATATATTTGTTTTTTCTCGCATTGAAAACTTCACCTTTCCTCGCTGGCTTATAATCCCAATCGCATAGCGCAGCTTTTGCACACGTTAATTTGTGATCGCGTGCGACAGATGCTTCATCAGGCCACTCTTATGCTGACTATTTTGTCTCCTCTCCTTTGACAGAACAATCAATTGTCGTCGCGCTCCAGTGCTCACCTCAAAAGATGTACTCCAGCACGAAGTGCCATCTAACCCGTCCACGGCCGTTGACAAAACCCCGACAAAGGTTAGTTCGTTGACGGACTATTGTTTCCAACCTTTCTCAACATAATCCCGGTGTCATCTACCCTACCGTTGGTATTATTTTCGCCCAAGTTGTTTCTATCAATGGGGTGCTGTCGACTGATAAGAGTGTTCGCTGCTGAAATTAATCGATGCATGAGAAATTTGACCTAGTTGGTGGGAGTTTCGGGTAAATCATAGTTTCTGTGACTTCAAAGCCCGTCCAGTTTACACACCTTTGACACTAGCCACCGGAAAAACTTCAATGTTCAAATACCTTGTTAGGCTTTTATCTGGTTCAACACTTCTAGTTTTGTAAGGATTAGGTTGTATTTTTGCGTAACCAAGCGTTAAATTAATCCAGTTATGACACTCATTACTTTTAATATTCGCTGCACTGATTTGATCAGTAAAACATGTTCTGCCCATTAGCTATTGTCTTATACATTTTTGCGTACACTTTCGTACATAAAGAACGACAACCACTAAGCTTCGTAGAATTCAACGTGATTTTCTATTCCATCGATATTATTTGTTGAGAATTGGAGTTCATGAAAAGTGTGTGTGTGTGTGTGTGTGTGTGTGTGTGAGGGAGGGAGGGAGGGAGAGAGTCGATACTCAGAAATTTGTCACCCATAGCCAGGTTTCATTGCTCTGTGCATTCTTTCGCGGATCCCGACAAGGTCGCGTTCAGATGATGACGCTCCGGAAGTGGTTAGAAGTTTTATCTACCCCGGAATTTGTGTCACGGCTGGGAGAGATGTGCGTGAGCTCCCAGTGCGTAATTAAAGTAATGCTGGCGTTTGCTAATCTTCTTTATTTCTGTTGCCAGCGTGGAAAATATTTCTTGTATCGAAGGTTCTGTATCCCTCATCAACCGCGATACTTGGCTTCTGCTGACAGGTTGTAACCAATTATTATCTGCCTGTTTATCATCACCCCCGTATGGGAGGAGGGGTGGTGTATCACGAGTAACAATAAGGTCAGACGTGTGGGTAGTAGGAGGGGGAAGATAGTCTTCCGTTAAGAATGACCATTTCACTGCATCATCTGGAGTGGCTGGTGCACCCATGGATGCCTAAATGACGTCTACTGTACTCTGTTATTTCAGTCATCCGACTGGAATAGAAAAAATACCAAGGTGGGCAAGCTATGACATGGTATAGAGGGTTGAATAAACTGTTCGGATCTTGCTTCGAATTTGATGGAGTTTGCCATCCGAATGAAAAACGAACAAAAAATTAAAAATTGTGTGAAGTAAACAAGCAATAGACGTTTCGTTACAGTCTGCCACTCCCTTCATTTGAAACCTATCTCATATCGTTCATTTCTTTACAACCGGTAGTTATTTTTGCGCCTGTATTTGTAAAGATTTTTAAATGCGGGGTCTCAACAGCTGGCGTGAATTCTGTATAATTGCGTTACGTTTCATTACTGATGCGTGTTGCGGCCATCAGGTTTCACGATCTCTTCATCGGCTTGGATTGAGTTCACACGCCACTTCTACTCGTGTTTCATTACGGTTGGCATAAGCCGGGTTAACTGGTTCCTCTCGGGCAAGGTGCAGCGACTCACCGGAAGTCCGCGGTATCACAACATTGTGTCAGACCATTAGGTCAGCTGAATGCATAGTTTTCCTGTTCAACAACCAGTGCCAGTTGATGTTATCCGGTAGAGCCAGTGCTGGCTTTTCAGTTAACGCTTTTCTAAAAGCGGTTAGGTGGGTCAGCTTATTGTAGTCTAACCTCTGCTGTCTTGCCTTTCGAACCACACCAAAGTGCATGGGCAGCTGAGTGAGAATTATTGCGTGGCCAGATTCGAGGGGAGTGCTTCGAAACAGTCGGCAGTTTTGTAGGCTTATAGCGATGTGGTCAGTGTGGGCCCATCGCTTACACGTAGAGGGTAGATGCTAAGTGACACTCGGACAACCGGAGTGTCTGAATAGGAGTACACAGTTTTTAAAAGATGGCCAACAACCGTTCAGCATTTTCCGAGCGATAGGAATTTATCTCAAAAGAGCCTTCTAAATGCACTTCGTTCAAAGACAGTCGATCTACTCTAGTATGTATCTACTGAAATCACAGTATCAGCAGGATCCACCGTACTCAATAAGTCGTATATTTTGTGATACAGTTTTATCTATAACCTCATCTTGGTTTTCAGTTTTGGTATTGGTATTCGTGATGGCCAACCAGCTACATCTAGTGCGTCGGCGACTATCTTTGTACGAACCTCCAATTTTCATTACTCATAACCGACTGTAGACTGGGAAAGTATCTAGCAACGCGGGTTTAGAGCCCACTGTAAACAAGCCAACGCCAGCAAAACCAGAAGCTGCAGCCTCAGGGTCCCAAAAACTGTCTTATATGCTACGGATGTCCGGTCCAGAGTAAGTCTTGTCCGATGATGTACTCTATCTTTTGTGTCATCAAGCGCAGACCGTTTCACAGCAGCGTTATTTGAAATGAACTGCTGGTCAGGATGATGGCTCATTTGCCTCTTCTGAAGAGACTTGTCAGGTAAACAGAACACAAGTGAAAGTGGCCATGTTCACCACGTCATAGTCTTGTTCACGCGTGTGTGGTGCTTCGTTCGGAAGACTTTTTGTGAGAATCTCAGCATCCCAGACCTTGCGGTACCTCAGCTGAAATGCAGTGTCTCACGAGTAGACATGGGGCCTTGATTCCGCTTGACCTCAATAAACGATCACCACGTCACAGTACCGTCTTCGGATTATTGTGGCTTTTTCTAGGGAGAACGCTGGCTACCCCAAAGCCCTTCGCGTCCTCCACTACCGCTCCTGCTCACCCGCGGCCGCTTATCCAATGATGGCCGTTCCGCAACCTGGAGACAAGCCACTTTGGGTGCAGCTGTCTCTGTGCTGTCACGTGTTCTGTTTATTTTCTCTGCTTATTGATAAGGGAATAGGTAAGTAGTTTTGTTCTGTTTGTTTTGCTCAAACCTTGTGATTCTCATTTTCCTACCATGTTTTAGACTCTCGCTTATTCCGAATCAGACACCGTTCAGACTCTTCACAACAAATCTGTCGACTCCACGGAAAATCCCATACCCCGCTTGGTTCCGATGGATTACGATTCCGATACCGACAGTCAATCTTCATCCGACAAAGATCATGCGGACAACGATCAGATCGTTGGACCACCAGAAACACCGAGATTGTCAGACTCGGACAGTGTGCCAACTCCTCCCCCGACTGTAGGCGATGTCATTGGATTCACCTCTCTAGCAGATGCTCCAGAATCGGTCAGTCAAGTTGGTTACTTTCTCTCTCTCTCTCTCATATTCATTTTCTATTGTCAAGAAAAAGGAGTAACAAATACAACACTGGGAAGCACCAGACCGCTAATACGTTTAAAACGATCACACGGAGTGTTTCATCTTTTGTTCTCATTGTTCTTGTTTTGGCTTAAAGTCTATAAATCACTGAACACTACTTTCTCGTTGTTCCCTTCGTCGCTTTTATTTTTAACCTGCGAAAATTCTTCGTGCATCTCATATCAGGTTCGGTTCTTTTTCAATCATTCTCTTATCTTTCCAAATGACTCCATATATATTGGGAACAAAGCTTCCATTGTGATCATTCACTACGATTCGATCCGGATTAGAATGGTTGATTCGGATTGGTATATCCTCCCCCATGCACATCCAGCTGAATTTTCGGTTTGGAACTGTTGTTCAGCTTTTCACCAGCTTATTGCGTCCAAATATGCATTCAAACAATTTGTCCGTTCTATGGGAATGAGGGGAAAGGAATATCCGGACAGTATTATTTCCGCGTTTTAGTTTAGCTATTTACAAGGGTTACAGTCAAATCAGTTGCCGGCCATCAAAATGAGGAAATGGGCGCCACTACTGAAAAATTCTGAAATAGCTATCATTCGTGTTCGATGAAGGTCAGTTAGGATTGGTACTGTACTTAATGGTTGAGGTGCGTTCTTGTTGTGTGAGCTAATTGTTGGTGGTAACCAAGCCTATTGAGTCTCTATCACTGAGGTTTAAACTCTTCTATCGCTATCCATTTTTGGTGGTGGCTTCATTATCATTCGGCTTGATACCCAGGTCTATCCGACTGGCTCGCCTTTCTTTGCCCCAGGGTTAAGATTATCGGTTTAATGCAAGGAAACAGTAAATCCTCATGATTACGAAATCCACCCCTCCTGTTGATCATGGAATAATTTGCCACGGGGTTCGAAAATCTAACTACTGACTAGTTACCTGATCTGGAATCAAGTTTTAATCTCTTCATTTGCAACAGCCTAATCCAGAGTGCATTATGTAGTCATAGTAATATTTGATAATCTACTTTGTTAATCAAATTTCAGTTCTCATCTTGAAAGCTCGAAACACGAAAAAGTTGTGGTTTTTTCGTATCAAAATTTGGAACAGTGGTTAGGAGAGAAGAGAGTAACCCTTAGGTAGTTTTCCATTTGCTTTTCTGTCACCTGAAGTTACTTTAGTCATTGCTGCAATATTCTATCCGGACCTTTTCTAATAGATTTGTCTCCTTTCACGACAGAACTCGGAGGCGGAAAAAACACCAGAAGTAACGCTTCCTTCGAATTCACAATCTGGTTCCAGTCGCGGTCGACGCCGGCGGCGTGGTGGTCGAAAAAGACGACAACGATTGGAGCGACGTAATGCAGATGGTCTGGTCGAAAACACTGGGTCTGTCGATGACCAACAACCCAACAGTTCACAGTGCGGCCCTTCTCCAGCTGGCTCGAATCCTTTTGCACTACACCCAGTTGTACAGCTGCGGGCCAAACGTCGGGCTTGTTTACAAGACCCCGAACGCATTCACAGTCGTCCCACACTTCTGCAGATGGTAATTCCCAATTCGAGGCCTATAGTCGTTTTACTTGACCTCGCGATTCCGATGAGTTCGATGTCAATGTAACTTCCCTTTTGCCCGGGTCTATCGGTTTTAGTGTTTGATGTGAACTATGGTTCATGAAGCTTTCCACTGAATCAGTTCCAGGGTTTGGACCGCATTCACCCGCAGACTGCTGTCACATCATCGGTTTCATTTGACATGGAGTGGGGTTTTGAATTAATCGTTAAACTAAATTTCGGTATTAAGTTGGAGTATATATTATTGTACGTCACACGCATCCGAGTTCAGACTGTGCGCCGAACGAATCATCATGTTATAGTGCTCTTTACTACAAAAAAACGAGGTTCACGATTTGCCAGTGGGTGGACTACTGCCAGGTTGCCTAAGATAAAACACGTGAATTTTCTCGGGATAGTCCCAACCGGAACCTTGAGCTAACTAAAGCCTGAAACACCAGACATCGAGGGGCGGGCGGTGCTACCCGGTTCGTCAGATCATATGCCTTTTGGACGGGGTCAAACGTCAAAGGTACCCAATCGAGTGGGTAACCACTGCCACTGTTAAGGATGTCAATGGTTAGCAGATCAACAGACAATGTCACTGACCTTGACTTTTTAATATAAATGATTCTATCTGTTGTCATGTTGTTTAATACATGCTCACGATTCAGTCGGACATACACGGATCTGACGGTTGGACGGTTTTGTTCTTCCTCGCTCTGGGCGATCCGGAACCTGACAAAACACCGTTTCAGACCGAATGGAAATTCTCGTGCAAATAATTCGTACACAAAACAGACTCATCGAATCGTTGACAAAGACATAAAACCATATTCATCGCTTCAGTCAGGAAATACAGGTCCAACTAGTGTTAACCTCACCAGTACCATCACTGATGATGCAGATGCAGAACTAACGCTCGAGTCATGATACGCAAGATTTGTGGATATATTTTCCGTGGATTGTGCTCTAGGGAAGACACCGACAAAGTGAGGCTTATACGCAAACTTGGCTCCGCTGAACACCAGAGATATGGCAACTACATCTTACCTCGCAAACCAACGGACATACTAATCTCAGGCACAGTGAAGTGCCTTACCCAAATATTAAGTTCTCGTGCTTCGCTATTTCA